TTCGTGACAAAAAATGAAAATTGACTGTTGCTCCGTGTCCATGATGATGGAACTTGCAGGCATTTGATAGACTTGTTCCTCCTCACATCTCACAAGTCGTCTGTTAAGGTAAGCAGGCTGTGTGCACGCGAGCGATACACTTATTTAAATATATCTTATGATAATACTAGGCAGATGTATACACACAGTTTTAAAACATTTTTGAACAACCGTAAAGCAAAGCAGATGTATTTCCCACGTAAAAACGATCCAAAAGGCACATAGTCATGTGTTTTTGCGCATTTATTGGTTTATAATATATAGCGTGGATAATAATATAATAAACAGAGAGATTAACTCTTTGTCATTGACATTATTTCTAAAAATAAGCTAGAAAAGTTGTCTGTAGCAGGGTGGTGCTGACGTCACAGGTGAGCGCCCCGAAGGCACTGTAGTCCGGTTATAGCCTAATGTTAGCTTTTCAATTCTTGCGTTTGCATATAAGATCCAAAAGTGCTCAAAGTTATATTTTCGTGTGAGGATTATCCGCTGGACAAAACGTGTAAGTGTAATGAACAGTGTTTGAACACAGCTTATTATTCGCAATCTTCGAAAAGCCTATGGGAAAATCCTATAGGGATTTAATCGAGGGAACCAGTTTTATGCTAGCAGCCGATTAGCCTACAAAGTGACGTCTTAGTTCCTCTACTCTATAGACATTTTTCTTGGAACGCAAAATTACCCATTATCCTTTGCGTGTATGCGCAAGGAGAATGTGAAGAACTTCCGGTCAGCAGCTGATGCGTGTAAACAGTCAGATTTGGACAGCTTTGAAATGATAGTTTTAATCTATTTTACCTGCTTTTATCCTCTTTAAACTAATACTGTTGTCCATCAGCATTATCTCCTGGACTGATCATTTAAAGAAATGCGATCGAATAGGATGGAAAACAGCTGCTGTGAGGCATTTTCCCCTCGTTGTCAGACGGCATCTTCAGCAGTTTAAATGAAGCCTTGTCATCGCTAAAGTCAACATTTTCTCTTTATTTCAAATATATAACCAGCCCAAACAAATGTAATTCACCAAAATGTTTGACACACACACATAGCCTGTACTGTGCCACTGACACACTGATTTGATAACTGTGACAAAGTGAAAACATAGGCTGGTGTCATTTCGAAATGACAAAAGAACACAGACCGTGGTAAAAACAACACATGAAATAAAACACAAACGGCTCGCGATTAGAATGAACAGCAAATCAGCCAGCAGAGTATCAGTAACAGACTTTTATTGGTCATTTTTGTAAATTGCACGACTTTCATACCTGTTAAGTTTCATGCCAGTACTCTGGTTTTCTCTCTCTCTCGCTCTCTCTCTCTCTCTCTCTCTCTCACTTTCTCACTCTCTCTCTCTCTCTCTCTGTGTGCGTTAAAGAGCCGCTGAGCTAACAGCTGACAGGCCGGAAACGCACGCACACACACACGGTATTTCTGACTGCAGACACGTGAACTTGGAGAACGTTTTTCTCGTATTTCTGACGCGTTGAACCACATGTGACAGATTATAACGGCTTTAACAAACACATTTCTAAGTTGTGTGCTCACAAAAACACTCTGTTATCCATTAAAAACGTTATTGAAACCCATTTTCGGAGCGCAAATTACCAGTTGTACACGCTGTAAACAGAAGTTTTTAGCATTCTACCGGAAGACGCTGGTCGCTATGGCGCCCTCCATGCAGCAGCCATAAAAAAGGTCTACAGCATGCCAGTGGTGGTAAATCGCAACTTAAAATATGTTTTCAGGAAAGTATGAACACTTGGACATTTCTTTTATTGAAATCTGTGTAAACAGATGAAGTCAGTCTTTCTCTTTATAACTCTGTAGCACTGATATAGATGATGTTATGTTAAATAGTGTGGTACACCTGCGTTAACTCAGCTGCTGTAACCTAGAGGGGAGGAGAAAATACTAATGAACCTAATTTTAAAGGGTGGTATTGATAACAGATTTTGGCCACAATATTTGTCATTATTTGTAGTAACACCTATCCAAACATGGAAACAGCACATACATAAGCTAGATACAAACATTAGCCACACTGTAAAAATGATATGATCAATTAGTCCTGACAGCATGTGTTTTTAGGTCATTTTAACTTACTTAACTTTGCTTTCACACCTGTGAATCGATTCAGTTGTTCCGAAACAGGGATTACAAATGTTACATTGTTGCTCTTCGCTCTTGGTGCGGTTCGCTTTCACACTGCAAACTTTCTAATCGGACCAAAAGAGCTAAAACAAGTCATGTGAGAGTAAACTCTCCTCACATTGGTCATAGTTTTACGGTTTATTTTGCGGTTTACGTCCCACTCAGCTGTTAGGAGAAGTGGTGGTTTGGTGGTGTTTGACAAGGTGCGTGCGACTACACTTTTGTTTCGGAACCTGTCTCGTTTGCCCAGTTAGCGCGGTTCGTTTGGCATATGTAAAACCACCAATCGCTCTCTGATCCGCGCCAAATCAATCGCTCCGAGATCGCTTGAATGAGGTGGTCTCGGCTCGACTGAAACGAACTCTGGAGCGGATCGATTGCAGTGAGAAAGCAAACGATCTGAGCGCGGTTATATCACTGTGTTTTATGGATATGTAATAGGCATAAGGCTATATGAACAGAGAATTATGAGTAGGGCGGGAATCGATTCACAGGTGTGAAAGCACCCTAAGTTAATCATGTTGAATTATGCAAGCTGTTTTAAGTCAGTTTAAAATAATATAAGTTCAATGAACTCATGATTAATTGGATTCAGCTTAAAAAAATTAAGGCAACCAGGATTTTTTTATAGTGTAGTAAATATTTCATATAGCCTATTTCTAATTTTAAAACATGGAAAGTTGTAATTTATTAATATTGCATTGGAACCGTGATTCATTTACATTGTATTTACAGAATTTTTACAAAATACAGTTTGTGACTGTGTGTGAAAACCAGGCCAAATCTAATTCTGAGATAAAGTTTTACTGTAGCCATTCATGTTGTTGACATGATTTTGCTCAGTTAATATTAAATACATATATTATTATTATTATATTAGAAAACAGTAAATTACAAAAATAAAAAAGACTCCAGCTATATTTTCACAGACTGGGTCACATTTTTAACATTATTAAGCAATTAACCTAAATATTGTTGATAATGATTACTATGTCATTACTATGTCTGCTTCGGGAGCAACCTAGTTAAGCCTTTAAATGTCGCTGTTTATGTTTTATGAGACAGAACATTATGACTACTGCATACAAAATTAGAATGCATTTTTGTTTATAATAATTTAGAGTGTAGTTTATATTTATTATATAACAGAAATACACACATCCATGTCTATGTATACACATGAATAAAAATATTTAAAAATAAAATATTAAAATGTAACGTAAAATTATATATAAATATTAATATATGCTCATATTTTTTTAGTATATATACATGTATATGTGTGCATTCACATATACATTATAAATATACACAATCCACGCACGTACGCTATGTAAAATAGATCAATAAAATATGGTAATTAAAAAAACACCATTTCCAAATGTGATTTTGATATTGTACATTAATACATTAAATATGATCTATCAATTTACTTAATAATTTTGTGCGATGCTTGTATGTATGTATGTATATATATATATATATATATATATATATATATATATATATATATATATATATATGTATTAGAGAACAAACAATATATTGTTAAGGCACTGATAGCACAATTTGTGTATTTGCAATAATCACATCGCATATAATCACAACAAATATTTACATTTTTTATTATTATTATTTATACTATGTTATTTTACATTTGATTGTTCAATTTCTCTACTTAAATACTGTTAGGCTCCCCAGAAAACCATAAATCACTGTTTATTTATTTACTTTTTCTTGCAACATATTATAATTTATGCAGATACACTGCATAGAAAGTCTTGATCATCCCAGTCGATCTTAATTAATGAAATATTTTCATATAGAGCTATTTAAAACATCTGGTGAAATTGCATTTATATACAAAATATTGCAATGTCATATGTTTCTAATATTGTGTAACTCTAGTATACAATTGAAGTCAGAATTATTAGCCCTGCTTGGAATTTTTTCTGTTTTTTTTTCTGTTTCTGTTTAACAGAGCAAGAAAATTTTCACAATATGTTTGATATTTTTTTTCTTCTGCAGAAAGTCTTATTTGTTTTATTTCAGCTAGAATAAAAGCAGTTTTTAATTTTTTAAAAGCCATTTTAAGGAAAAAATTATTAGCACCTTTAAGCTATATTTTTTCCCGATAGTCTACAGAACAATCCATCTTTATACAATAACTTGCCTAATTACCCTGACCTGCCTAGTTAACCTAACTAACCTAGTTAAGCCTTTAAATGTCACTTTAAGCTGTATAGAAGTGTCTTGAAAAAATATCTAGTAAAATATTATGTAGGCCTACTGTCATCATGACAAAGATAAAATAAATCCGTTATTAGAAATGCCTTTCATAAAACTATTATGTTTAGAAATGTGTTGAAAAAATTTGTTAACTTCTCTCCGTTAAACAGAAAGTGCGGAAAAATAAACAGAGGGGCTAATAATTCTGATTTCAATTGAACTGTTAACTGTATATGTATATGTAAATATTACATAGAAACGAGTGTATGTAAATATTTGTAAAGTATATACGTGTGTGCATTTAAATAGGCTTATACTATACATCATATACTTAATACATGCACATTGCACACATATAAATAAAAATCAACTCTACATTTTACATAATTTTGTGCATTGCGTATATTTATTATGTATAAGTACGCACATGTAAATGTGTATAAAACATATATGTATAACAACATGTTATATATGTACATTTTTAAAGTAAGTTATATACCTGAATGTGTTTGTAATTAGATATACTTAAATACACACTGTCATTTTTAACGTGAACGTCCCCTTATAAGTATTTTTAC